ATTTTGGCTTTCGAAGACGGTATCAATCAAAATTTTCCCGATCAAGCTGGTAACGGGTCCTCAAGTTCCTATATTGTCCTCTCTGAGAGGTATGACTCTAGTTACTACATAATCTATAACTGAAATTTGTCACATTGTTTTACATCGGTTTATGTTAAGGAGGATACCTGTACAAAATTAGAGAAAAAATCTATAAATCATTCGTATGGATGCCAATGCTGATGGTGTAATGCTATTGTAAATTGTGTAGTAAACAATTTGTTCTCTTTGGAACCAAACTCTTTTTCAGCAGTAAAATATCTTCTTGAACCATTAACAAGAAAGTTTAAGATGGACGCACATTATAGATATGATTTTAGAGGTATGAAAGAAAACTTGCAGTATAGGTGATTTCTCTTCTATTGTCATTAACCTTAAATATAGTTAATGAAAAAAATCTTTATATATTCACAGTGCAGTGCTATATCTATAAGAAATCAATCGCCTGACACAATAGGACAGTGGTATGCTCCCTGTTATAAGGGATGACACCAAGAGTTTGCTGTAAAGTGATGGAGTTTAATATTCATGTCTTCAAATGGTTAACAAAAATTGATTAGTGCTTGTGGATAAGGCTACAGGTGGAAATAATGGAGCGCTTAGGAATGGCGTTAATAAAGATTGAAATGGTGACCCAAAATCTCGACCAAGATCAGAATGTATTTTATTTTGCGTTTATATCAATCATCTTCTCCTCAATAAAATTAAACAGCTGGAAATCAACAGTCACGTCGAATGTAGAAATATCGGTGTTGCTTTACCGTATTTGAATGAACGTATTGTGTGTGATATATATTACGTTCGGAAGCTATTCTTTATTTCGTTAATTTAGTTTTAGTCTGGATTTATTCCTTCTCTTCGTTAGACGTCGCATCCCGAAAAAACCCAAGAGCGCCGCAGTCTAGTGGAGAACAGTTGTACTAGGGCAGGTATTCCGGTCTGATATTGTTGTGTAATACAGTAAAATCAGATGTTGTCGAGTACAATTCCATAGGCATCTGATTTCATGGATTTATTGTGGTAATTCTCTATTAGAACGGTGTTAAAATGGTCTTAATTCATGAATTAAGTAGTCATAAAACAGACAGATAAACAGAACACAATAAGAATCTTATTATAACTGACGACGCTCGGTTTAAGTAGCGTTTTACCATAACCAAAAGGCAGAATACGTAGCCTTGATATGTATCGACTACATTAGCCTAGCATGTTTCACTCTTGATGCTTTAGGACCAGTTTACACAGAAGGGGCCGCCTGAACACTTGCTGCAGTCTTCGATTCGATATGGAAGTTTAGTGCACAGTACTCAGTGACATATTGAGATTTTTTATCAAATCGATACTGAATGTCATTCAGGACGACGCCACTTGTCTTCCAGCAGCTTCATCACTATACACGTTGTGTAAACAAAATTCGACATCTTGTATTTGTGACAACTTTTGTAATCAACCAGTGGCAGACTATGATTGTTTCCTTATTTGTTTGTGATGGTTTTTTCGTATCGAGTTTTCCATTGAGTTAAGACGTTGTTATGATATCGCAATCGATTCTAGTTTACACTTTCCCTGACAACCTTGTTCCTAGTAGAACGTGTGTCTTTATGGTGTTTTTCCGCCCCCAGAGCTTTCTGAAGAATTCCGTAAACTCTGTATAAATATTTGAAATGTTTCAATTTCCATTCTCTACTCAAGTAAAGATAAACATGTCCTATCCAGGAACGCAATATCCAACCTGAGCAGCTTTCGACCTAGCTGTATGTTAAGCATGATGATTTCGATTTCCATATTGTGAATGTTCCATTTTTGGATGAGAACTTTCCTGCATCTCCAACCTTGGATGTTAACATGTTAGAGATTTATACCTTGAACCCTGATACACCATTCTCTTTCACCTCCCTAACAGGGCTTTAGTCAGCAGTTCTCGGAGTGTATAATATCCTCCCCTACTTCCTTGAATCATTTCTGCCATATCTGATCAAAGTTAGACAAGTAGTCTGCAAGACAAGTCTGCAAGACAAGTAGAAATCAAATCACGAATCCATTATGGTGGCTAGTATTGTCAAGATATTTTATGGTTAGTTAATCAAGTTTATTTTTTCAAAAATCCATTTGATATGAAAATATACCGTTTATAAACTATGTGGCAATGACCTACTTTACCACTATTGACCCCCCTTGACACCAATTTTTCTATTCGCCCCCACAAAAGCTTATATTTTGCGTAGTAGACCACAGGTAGCTGACCTTAAGGTGTCTTCCTGAAAAAATAAGCCGATTACTGAAATGTCATAAAATAGCCGAAAGTTCCATCCTTTCTCTCATTAAATGTATCGTGAAGTGTTATTACAGAAATATTCATATGATGACTAATCAGGGCACTTTTTTATTCCCTTGATTACATGTGCCTGTGTTTCCTTGTATACCGTCCGGAGTGTTGTCCACACCTAGATCAATTACCTGTTTTGTGTTCGGCATAAGAATCACACAAAAGACACATCAAACCGGACAATTAGCTATTATTGAGTATGGAATTAACATAAACTTGATCGATACAAAATTATCAATCGATCTGTATTTTCAGGACCAGACCTTTCACGAGAATACTAATGTCTGTGATACACCGGTGAATCAAGTAGATTCTTAATATGGTTATTCTTTTAAATATGTATTTTTGAATTTGATCCCAGCAAGTCTTGAAGACAAATATTTTGCAGGTCGTTTCCTAGTACTCTACACATAAATTCCCACCGAATTGTTTGCATCATTATCAAAATCCATCGTTAGACGTTTGTGTCTGATTGTAAAAGATCCAAACGCTTTTGTTTATAAAGGAAGATAAAAGATTCAGGTTTTGAAATAAAGTCAATGACGTAAACAGCAAAACTATGATGGAGCTATTTTGTTAAGATGATACATAGATGGATTCAAACTATTTTGGAATGTCTCGTTATATTATGATTACTACAATATAACTTATTCTGGTAAATAACAGCTTCATTGTTTTGCAGGTGTTTGTGTGTAAACAATCATAATTGTTTAATGAACCATAAACAAACAATCCTATATTGTTTTAAGACAGAGGAAATATTTTTCCTTTACATGTGTCATAACGACCACTAAGTATTCTGGCAGAATAAAGTTCATTTGTTTAAATAAACACTACCTTGATAAATACATGACATTACATTTTTCAGACAGTGAGACGAACAAAATGGCGCAGAAATTTTCCGCCCATGCTCCTTATAACCAAAGTGTCATTATAGCCTATCTAGTGACGTTGACGAGAAATTAATTTGTTTGTGGGGTTTTAACCTCGCCGTTAATAGCGAGAGTAGTTCTGATCGAGTTTGCTGCCTTGCCGAAAGTTGGAATAACACGAATATAAGAGGACACATTAAAGCTCGCTCGAATGTCGTTGATCATATTTATACAAATATTTTTGTCGTCTCGTTCCGCGTTCTTCGAATTTTGCATTCAAATCGTAATGATTTTGATCTCGTGTTGAGTTCCAAAGAGCTCTACGCTGGGGGTAATCTTAAGTTACGCAACAAACTACAGAGACAAGGAAATGAATCGTTTGCCTTTAAAAGTAATGGTGAATCGTTTACCAAGAAAAAAATTCAGGGAATGTATGTGTCGGTCTCTCCCGAACACAGGGACCTGTAAATGATTTACAAAGTGAACGCCTTGATCTTTCCTGGCCAAATGAATCTGAAAATGATTTACGAAGAGTAAGTTATGACATTCTCTCGTCACAGGGACTTGTTAATTAGCCTAATTATAGTACATTCTGTTAAGATTCAATAAATTTAAAATCTATGTCCATGTTATCAGAAATTATTCAACCAACGTCCCGATTCCCATGTCCCTGTGCACTAAATCGGATACAAGGTCTGGGAGAAAACTGCTTAACAGGTTATGATCGTAAAGAGAATGGTCCGTTCGATAGTATGTCTTCTTTGGTTTGACGTTGATGGGGCTAAGCTGGAAATGTTGATTCGTGCAGACAATTATCTACGTTCCTAGCTTTGCTCTCGTATCTAGGTAAAACTGCCAACGCATTCTCGATCAATTGTGTTTCATATCTAGTTTGTGATAAACTCGAAAACTTGGTATTAATAATTCAGCCTTTTCATTATTGATATGGTTGTTAGAGGGGAAATTCGAGTATTCAATTCAAAACCATACAGAACAAATAAATTCATTTTGACAAAGTCAATCTGTGATAGTAGGTACAATTTTTAAAAAGAATTCGCGGTGGAGAGTGATAAACGTACGTGCTTCTTAAATCCATATAAAATCGGCTAGTATTATTTAAACACTACGTTGTACAACACCTGGATGTATAGGTAAGCTGTATATCATTGTTCTCCCAAGAGACAATCCTTACCTGGATCTTCATAAAATAACCTGGCGGACAGGTAACCGTATATATAGATACATATGACAAGTTGATTAGCGCGGTCAATGGATCAACGTAGGCATGAAATGTTCAAAACTATTGAATAGACACGTACGTATGTTTTGAATATAGAGAGAACATACGGGAAAATTACTCAAGTTTTCTCGGTAATACTGTTTAATTTCTCTGTACCATAAAATGGCTGGATGCAAATACATTGTTCGTTACCCGAAGTGGTGAATGGCCCAATTGAAAGGCAGAAACTCACGTCGCCATAACGACACGAAAACAATGAGAAACAAACATCTATATGTTCGTCTAGAAGCAGTTCTCTCGCCGTGAGCCATGCACACATATTAGCAGTACATATTGTGGTAGTCAGTCGCCGTCCTGATTGTAGTGAATATCAGATTTGGGATCTTTAACAGGGCGAGTCGGGAAATTGTATATACTGTGTATTGGCGATATAGATTTAATTATAGAGGTGTGTATCTGGTTTCTCAATTTCTGAGAAACCGTTAGGAGAGATTTCCCCCCAGGAAATTCTGTGAAAACTTGTTCAAATCAATTCTTAAACATCTGTGAGCAATATGGGATGCAGTAACAGTACCGCCGGGGCTGATCCGACCAGCGTGCCTGCCACAACTGAAAACGGTGTAAACAAGCCATCGGAAGACCCCCCAAGCCCACCGGCTCAGCAACAACAAGAAAGTACTGAAAAACCAGCAGAAAACACACAACAGCAGACGACGGAACCTGAACAAGCCACAGGTACTTGTAAATTAAAATTATGTTCAGGAAGTAAAATCATATTGAAGTTTAACTTCATTTATACATATACTCAAAAAAGTCTGAGATTATAGCTATATATGATAGGAAAGAAAGAAAAGAAACAAAAAATACTGCTGGCAGTACGTTAATTACTGATTCTTCAAGTTTTTTCCTTTGTAGAATGATTTTTCTTAATAAAGTGATCAGTTATTATTCAAAATAAATATGTAATGTCCTTTCATGCAACAAGTGTTTTAGGATTATTAAATGCTAAGTAATAAATTTAGACTAAATTTAGATACAATGTAAGAAAACTATTCGCAGCTATCACAAATGAGTGAATAAACTTAATACAGAATTTAAAACCTTTGAAATAAGAATGCATTCCGATTGAAAAAGGTTTGGCAGCCATGTGTATGGAAGATCTGATTTAAACACGATTGATTGTGACAATAAATACATTTTATCGTGATAAATAACAATAGATAGAGGTGTGGTTATCCTAGTGGATCGTTACGCTCATGCTCGGTAGATTAACTAAACTATGGAGGACATGTATATATTACTTCTAAGGAATGCCCAGTTTCAAGGTTTACAACAGATTGAATATGTAGGTCATACTTTGAACTAAAATCCATACACAAACGATGGATCAAAACACAATAAACTTATCTAATAAAATATTTAAATTGATTGCGATTGATATATATTCCGATTCCTTCTATGTACACAATGATGCCTTTTTTATTAGATTTTTTTTCTTATCCCGTATTAATTTTTGGAGATTTTCTTCGTCAGATGTGTATTCCTATGCGCATGAATTACTACATACTCACTACGTGAACCATGCATTTACGGTCAAAAATGAATATTAAATGTCTTGTGTAACAATTGAATTTTTATGACAATCATTCGTCTTTAAAGTGTTTTAATTTGAATTGTTCGAATTAAGCAGTGAAATGGTCATTGTCATAAAAATCCTTTGTTGTTGGTGTAGCTTGTTTTTATCACCGGTGTCGTCATCGTCGTCATCGTCGTTGCTGTCGTCGTCTTAGTCAACATTAAGTTAACTTACTTAATTCTGAAGACTAAACAGTCTTAATCTTTTAAAGATACATGCAAGGGGTCCAGAAAAATGTAAAAGATATTTATATAAACGAATTATAAGCACCAGGAGATATGGTCCTTACAAGCATAACTTAAAGTATCGATGACATGAAACTTTTATGAAGAACCCCTAAACACGTGTCAGGTTTGCTTCGTGTACTAGAGCACGGCAATATCAGATTGTACTGCCGTTATGGTACTTGCCGTTGTTCCGTGTACATTTAATCCAATGACCTCAGAACCAATGTAAATAGAATTAAATGCATATTACCTGCTTTGAACCATACATGGAAAGCATAGTTAGCTTACATTTTGGCAGCTTAAATGTCCAATATCTTATAAATATGAAAGTATTTATAATAAAAAGTGATTGTGACGAGGAAAAATTCAAAAGTCTTAAATCACGGACATAAATACATGCTAATGTGTCAGCACTCAAAACTTAATTCGTTGTTTGATTTCTGAGTGAGAAAAGACGTCACAAGACCCGTCAAAAGGTGACATTATCATGTGTTACTCACTGACCAAACTGACCATGCCAGTTAAAAGTTTGACCTCTTCAACAGAGTGTCAACAGAGGTCAGAAGGGAGGCAGACGTATAAAGGTAGAAGAGTGAGGAAGACAGCGACTTGAAAACGTCGAAACTTTCTGCATGTCATACAATAGACTTGTACACAAGCATTCAGTTTGAAATTATATGCTTTTGTAACCTATTTTATCATAGTAAAATAACTGATTCAAACAGTGTATTTTTGAGTCCAACCTTGTCAGTCGTAAAACGACATATTTGCGATCTCCCTAACACTCACTTGAGTGAGACATGAACGGTCATGTTTTATTATATATACCTTGTATACTCTTTATTTACTTCTCAATGTGTATACATTGTTTATGTTTACTGTACACAGCTGAAGTGATGAAACAAAACTCGATCAGGTCATTTTAAATCACCGTAAACGAAATATATTTAAGGAAACGGACCAAAAGATTTGCACTGTAGATGAAAACTTTTAAGAGTCAATTAGCGACATGTGTGTATCTATTCTCAGGCAAATCACTTTGCTGTTACTGAAAGATTTATTAAATATTAATACATATTAAATGTGTCATCTTTGTTTACCCGATTGTTTACATGGTAACCACGATAAAGCTGTCAGGTTTATGACACTTGGCGTGAGTTGTCTTATAGGTGATATAACTTCTATGGTTCGACTTTCCGGTTTTGAAAATAAAAACTTGTTGGAGTAAAAACAGAAAAAAATCAAACAAGTTACATACAAAGAGAAATGAAGAAGTGGTAAGAAAGAAAATGAAATGATAAGAATGAAAGGATAAATAGATAAATAAATTAATAAATATACATAACTGACTGTGAAATATAACATACAATTTATATAACACCTGATGAATTTGATTTACCCATCTGCAATGATATTGATTTCTCCAAATTTCTATTTCTTGATTCCTCGGCTGTGTATTGGTGTAGGTACAAATAGTATAAGTTAATATCTTACTCGGAGAACTCATCGCCCATCGAAGTCGTGTTATTATATCTAAAACTAGTTCGTGTATATAACAGCTGACATCACGCGAAATATCGTTGTAAATAATATACATTTTTAAAGCATTCTATTAAAACAAAACAATATAGATAGGACACATCAAAATCAATGACATCACGCACAGAACGTCGTTGAAATCGAATGGTTCCATTCTCAATTCTTTTGCGTTTGTCATGACAAAATATCTGGGAGACATAGCAACCTCACTGATAGTTAGACTGTTTATAGAAGTCTTAACACCCATATTAAAGAAGAACGTTTCTGTGTGGTTCGCTTGAAATTTACCAAAGATATATGCGCGTGTCCGTGTCTGTTGCAGTTTCAAAATGTGACGTGCACAGAGCAGAACCTATGATTCGTCACAAAATTTTTCGAGGGTACTGAGAAGATAAAGGTTTAACAGAGATAAGCCCTTGGATTTTAAAGTTGTACACGCTACATTTTCAACATTTGCATTATCATTTGTGCATGAGATAAGTTCAATCATTTGTTATGGAGCTTGCTATTTTAAAAACTTGCATCCGACTGCGTTGTGCCTAATCGATATGCAGTTTGCCAGTTGGTCTAATATCAAAATCAATGAATTTATGGTCCTGGAATAGAACAAATGGTTATTCTTTAAAAATAGCTATCTGGACTGGGCAGTAGGCGGAATCAACATATGTTAGATACCAACAGAATATCTGGCTTTACTCGGCAACTCGATAGTTTTATTCTCATGTTGAACTGACACTCACTTGAATCAGGTACCCTAATTTTGGGAACCCTCCACTTTGTGAATTTTTCAATGTATGGAAATTACAGTAAGACTTTAATGCAAAAATAAACGCTCAGTGAACAGTCATGGTTATTGTGAGTCTGTGTCTCCTTGAAATACAGCTGTAGATGATAGAACATCATTGGACATAATGCGGGAGGTGCATTGCATTATCTCCTGAGCAATTAATCAAGTTTTATACCTGTGCTACTTCACTGACAGCATTGTTTAACACTGAAATATCTGATGCTGTATATCAGTAGTTTACGAAATATTTTCCATATTTGAACTTCTTTTAAGAACACCAATACCAAAGATACGCCTGTTTAACGAGCAAACATAGCATGCGGCATATCATAAAAGAAGAAGTTCAATTTCCCGATTTTCGAATCGGTGAAAACAATTAACCACAGGTGTTAGTATAGACTGTAATGATAAACTTAATTTATTTTACAACAATTGCGAAACAAGTTATGTCAACTTATACTAATTACTCTTGCTGGCCCAGATGTAAGCGCGCAAGGGGTCTTATTGTGGGAGGAAACCGGAGTACCCGGGGAAAACCCACGTGATCGGGCAGGTGACCCTTACATTTTCACGTCCGTTCGGGAATCGAACCCCGGTCGGCTTGGTGAAACGCGAGTGCGTTACCACTGCACCACCCGACTACCCTGTATATACGTATGTACTAATGAAGGTTTGTAACTCCATCGGCTTAGCGAAACAACTCCATTCAGGGAAACTAGTAAATGTTACTAAAATGTTAACAAAATCCTCTGAGAATGGTTTGAATCGACAGTTAAATAATATTACTTTAATCTGGTACATGATTCACTATATATCCTACCCGAAAACTGTCGTCAGACTACATCAAACATCGTTAAATTGTCACATTTCAGTCAGATACTCGCCCGGTAGCGAAATCAGACACCGAATCGGTACAAATTAGATTTAAAAACACTTACACATGCTTAGTTGAGTGATCATTCACTGACTTATGTGTAGGTTGTTTCTGACATTATCTTGTTAAAATCAATGTCTGCCATGATGACAAAAGGAAAGCAAATCAAAATGTGTGTATCATTCTGCAGTCAAATTTTTAATGTGTCAATGCAATCCAGCAAGACCACCAATGTTAAACTGTCCTTGTAGATATTTATCGTAAAGATCGTCTGCGCAAGATATTGAAACCCTGCACCAGACAACTTTATGTACATTTGCTGTCCATATAAGATCGTTTTCTTATAGTCAAAGTTTATCATTTATCTTGCCCCCATCTCATGATAGACTAAACATGTAAGACAATATTGTTTGTGACGATTTTTGATTTTAAAAAATCATAATAACTAACAGCCCTTGCTCATACCAATGAAAACAACGAACATAAAAACACACAAAAATTATAATTTTACAGTATGACAAGCTTGACAATTCATTAAACATTACGTTATAGAGAATCATTAGTGATAAATCTAAAATACATGACTCACAGCTCATAGCATTATTTAAATAATTGATTATTAAGTATTCCGAACGAACTGTAACACGATTTCTAATCGACAAAAGCTTCATGGAAACTCATTTGAGTGGAAATTTATTCGATAGAAACATTGAATTGCAAACATGAAGCTAGTTCCATATATCTCCGTGCTTATTACTCATTCAGTGGTATGAAAGACTGAAAAAACAGTATCCATTTTTTTTTTCTTTTTATTTAAGACATTTTCTCATTATTTTTTTTATCTGAAACCATATCCAAGTCATTCATACAGTTTAATCAACTGCTTATAGGCGATACACTCAGCAGAATGGACAAAATACAAAATGCGAAAAAGTAGGATTTAAATACTCCCCGAATAATATATATGAACCTCAGTTAATTGATTTAGATAACCCCGGAAGATGAAGATGAGACTAACATGGCAACAGTTGTGCCTAATATATGTATATGCATAATTGTACATGCTTTTGAAATCATTATCCGCATCAGATTTCGACCTACGTTAGATTCCCAACAAAGCTCATTTGCATGTTTCTTTAATCGGTATTCAAGACGCGTACTATTACCGACATTTTCCAAGAATATCATGAATTCAAGCCGGCAGAACTAGCCGTGAGATAAACTATGCAGACTTTGTAACTTTAGTGAGAAAGCAAGACAGAAAATCCAGCATAAAGCTAGACTACAGATTTCATATTGGCATGAAAAGGATGGTGCTCACATCAAATATTGTAATTATACAAGACATTCGTCAAATCCTACAACATAACAATTATTGAATAGATAAACCCAATGTTATGATAACCTTGTTCTTGGTTTTACGTGACTTAAACAAGAAAGCAAACACACAAACAAACTGCTTTTACTGAATAGCCCCACGTAGTTTTAATTCAAAGAAAAAACGAGATAAAATAATTTATAAACATGCATGAAAATTGTAAGTGCCCTGTTATCATTTCAACTAGCAAAGCTAAAAGACACAATATACGAAAATTCTCTCTAAAACCAGCGAGGAAAAATATAATCTGTTTATGTCGATATAGAAAAAAATAACTGCGAAATACTCTAGATTCTAGGTTGATTTTTTAAACCAAATTGAGCTATATGCTTAGAAAGTCATAAAGTAACGAAACGCCCCGATTCGTTCTAACACGAACGATATTAGCAAGTATCGGAAGCCGAGTTTTAGACTGAACACACAGGGACTTGGTACGCAGTTCTAACCGTAAGGTCCATATTACAAATTCTGTCGAGGATACCCGTGTACTGACCATGTCAGGGCTCGTGCCAGTCCCTGTGTGTGGGGACACCATATATAGATTGTCATCCTCATGAGACATAAATTCTAACAATATTTTCCCTTGAAACGTTCTACATTTCCTTCCTTTAATGGTTAGAAATTGATTATTCATGAAAAGAGATAAAGTTAATGGAATGGAAACGTTTTGCACGCCTCGAAAAACAAGAACATGACGAAAGTAGGTCATGTGTAGGAAGGTGTCATAGTACTTATTTGACCTTGTTAAGAGCGTTGTAGTATACTTGTAGGATTCATAACCCGTACCATCACTAACTTTACCGCAATAAAAAGCAAAATTATTACGCAAAAGTCAAACTCAAAATCGATGAAACGAGGACAAAATATGAACAAAATATATAACCAACAACGCAGACTCTTTCTAAAGTAAAATACTGATACGACCAGGTGTTACGAAAAGTTAGGCGTCTTCTGCTTCATCGACTACTGTAACCATGTATATCTTGTACAAACCAAGTCAAACAACAGCGAGATGCATATTCAACAAAAACACCAGGAATACCTAAAACGCATTGGTCATCCTCTATCTTCGCACAAGGAAATGATAGAATATATCCAAATGTGGTGGCAACTAGGAGACGACTTGATCAGAAGACTTATTGGTTGAAAGAAAACTAATTCTCTAAAAATTGTCTATTAAATAAAAATAATCGTTTTCATTCATTGTCTTAATAGATTTTATCTAAAATGCGGGGAAATTGTTCCAACTTGATTGAATGATTAAGGAAATATTAATATTGAAAGTATGCTATTGACATGAAGATAGATAAAGCTGATACACCAGACGACAGTTCCCAAGGTTGAACTTTTGATATCCTAGACACGGACCTGTGTGCGGTCGTTCCATTAAATTCCCTCGTAAACTAGTTAATCATTTATAGAGTATTGATTGCCATTGTAATTGCCGAACTCTCCTTTAATGATTCCGTTTGTGAAACTACAGATACACACGTCATATGTTCAATTAGAGATTGCAGTCGATAGGTATTTCAAGGTGAAACAAACATTGTCTGAGTTTAAAATTCTCGAGTAATACCTGTTGTTTGCAATCTTATTCTGCTGTGTATGGACAACTGCAATCTCTCTCTCTCTCTCTCTCTCTCTCTCTCTCTCTCTCTCTCTCTCTCTCTCTCTCTCTCTCTCTCTCTCTCTCTCATAACCAAGATGTGTTTCTGTTGACCGAGGACTATATACTGTTATTGGTTCATAACCACAGTGGCCAGGAACTTGTCCTGAAAACTGAATAATTTCGTGAGTGATTTGTGTCTGAGCAGGCCCTATCCTGCGTCAAAACGTGGTTTAAATGTGTCTGTTTGGTAGGATATAAACACGGATGTCAAGCAACTAATGGATTTTTAATCGAAAATATAACGATACTGCCGCCTAAAAACAATCATCTGGACGTTTTATATGTGATATCAATAAAAATTCTATTCTATATTCGCTATCCAATACAACACAACGCATGATCAGCTTTATACAACACGTAATCTAAGTCTGAAAAATAAGCAAAACAAAAAACAAAACAAAAAACCTTTGTTAATTTAGTGAATAGCTATTGGGATATCGACAATAAACCAGATAAGCAACACAGTGCAAAGTGAGGAGTGTCATGATATCATGAATAGTATAACCAGGCGGTTACTGCGTGATCAAACACTCGTGTATCTAATCGCTGTTGTTGTTACTGCTGTTTTGTTGATTGTTGATACTGCTGTGGTCATTGTTGATTTTGTCGCTATCGTCATTACTGATGATATTGTTGTCGTCGTTGTTCTTGTAGATATAACAATAGATTTTTTATAGATACACACGAGGAATTCCATAGCGTTTTTGACTATCGTTCAGTGCTTAAAAAGATAATATTCGAACGCAAACCATATAAGTACATCTTGTACCGCTACTGCTTTTGTTTCTTATCTATCATTTCATAGAAAAAAAACGTGCAATCAAAACTAAAAATATTTAAATCTTTGCTCAAAGCTATGTTAAAATGAAAAAATTAAAAGTGAAAAAATAAACTTAGAAATTGTGCTTTATTTACAATACACTCCATGTAAATCAACATGATACAGATTAAAAGATCTGAACCGCCCACTGGAGTTCCCACTAATCTGTATTGGGAAAATATGAAAGAAATTTAGTCAAATATAATGATTAATGATATAATTATTACTTCAGAGAAACCAAAAGCAGAGGCAGAACAGACTGCACAGACTGAACAGAAAGAGGATACCCCTGTCACCCAGACTGAAGAACCAGCAGGACAGACAAACGATGAACCACAGAAGAACGAACAAACGGAACAGGAACAAGCATAGAGGGGTATAATAGTGGGAATCACAGGAGTGAAATTAGGTAGGGATCCACGAATGGGTATAGAAATGGAATATTCCAATATCATGCTATGAGTGGATGCATGCATTTATAAAGTCACCTGTATCATTATGAAGAATATATATGAAAAAAATATATATCGGGAGATCAGTTTTTACGCCCTGTGGTCCCAAATCCATTACATCCTCCCTAAACTACTTTGTATTTTTCATGTTAGTGAAACTTAAACTATAAGCGATATACTTAAGTTGATAATATTGTTTACCCGATTCGAAAAAAAATACTACAGTCCACACTATAGACGCCATTCATTAAGACCGGTTAATTTGATTACCATAAGACGCATATAGTCATTTCATTCTATATATGATGGCATCGCGGTCGTTGACTCTGTAATAGCACCCAAAGGAACATATCAAACTGTAGCCTCAGATGTCATTATCTGGAAACGACTGATGATTAACTCCAATAGTTTTAACAATAGCCTACTCGTCATGCACACCCAACAGGATGGAGGCGATCTGTTTAATTCCATCGATTTGATCATCCTTACAAAATTAGTTCCATCATATAGACCCGTCGTCTTAACTTAATCCCTAATTACAGCAGCCGAATCTACCAATTAACACGTGCGGACGTATTTGACCATGATATTAGTGTTCTACACACTACAAAGTGCCTGCAAGGTTTCGGCTATATCTTAAATCAATGTATTCACATTATTTGTATTAAAGCCTTACAATAACAATTCCTGCAGCACGTTGGTATAGTGTTCACATTCAAACGGCCAATACAATGTGTGATGAATATTTTCCGTAATGAATGTTATCATTTTCTTTGCATCAGCAATGTACATACTGAATAAACAGATGGAATAAAACTTTTGTATTTCATAATTAAAAAATTACATGTATAAGTCACCACATGAAAACCCTATTTGACCTTTCCGTTTGATAAGAAATTTGATAAAATTTTATACGTCACGTTAAAAAGCATCTGAAAAATGTCGTGGCTCGGAATATGCACGTATTATTGATCTTTTCATTGGGTTAGTGAACATCTCATTTTGTTTTTTTGTTGTTGACCTATCTTCTACACTTTAGGACCTTGCAAAACTGACGGGTCAGCAGTTTAAAGTTTATTGTAGTTTTGGAAATTATGTGATATGAAATATATCTAATACTGAATTTGTATAAAAAGATGCTGTTCACTTATGAACTATCTGCTAAATTTATCCATTCACTTACATTTTAGATACATTTTACCGAATTCTGATTCACAATACTGAAGATGAAGGCAGAGATGACGAAGAGGCTGGATAATGAGAAGAGATGTGTACATTCCGTCCAGCAACTGTTTACATTTATAATTGATAGCTATCAAATGTATCATTTATTTTTATACATGCACCAAAAATCCTTGAAAGGTCGTAATGCTACTGTCCCAGTTTTACCGCTGCAACTTAAATGATATGATCCAAGAGTTGTTTTTTTTCTGTAGTATAACATAATCTAAGCGAATGAAATTTCTCTCTGCTCTAGAATTACTTTTCATAAAAGAAAATATTGAAATATAAGGTTACTAATAAAACAAAGCTATGAAACTCGAGGTAACTGATTCAGCCTATACCGTGTTGAAGATCATTTCAATTTGAATACACGTTTTTGTACTTCATTTTCTCTCTATATATTTCAGTACGATACCCTGCATCTTATAAGCGGTCATATACTGTCTTTGATTTGTTGATAATTTTCTTAAATCCATTACAATATTTACATTATTAGAACATTATTAAAAAAAGAAAAAGAAAAACTTTATTAATATGTATCATGTATGACATGTGAGGGCATCCTCAATCATGTAATTTGGAAAAAATAAAACATTAATTCAATTGTCCACTTACTAATTCCGTCCATGTTCATCATAGTTATCTCCCTTTTTTAAGTATGAAACAGAGTTTGATAAAGAGTGCATACTTGATTGTGAATATTCTGTATAGATTTCCTGAAATATGCTTTACAAAGAAACCACTGTAAGATTATTAATCTGCTTTTGGAATCAAATAATGAAAAAGCTAAAATACCGAGAAGTGGTTTTCATACATTTAGAGAAGGACTACGTTAGAGAAAGTCTGTTTGTTTTCATTATAACTTTATAACTTTGTACGATAAAATAAGGTAAAATAGTCAGTATTTATAATTTCGTATTTACTCAAACCAATGAAAATCTACTTTAATCATACGAAATTCAGTTAGTTATACAACTATCACTGTAGCGTTGTTTAGAATTGGTATCGTTTAATTGTTCATAAATTAAAGGGTTTACTGTATACATGAATTTATGTTTTAAACATTTTAAGCTGTGATATGACTAACATGAACCCGCAGTATTTTTTGAGGATTACAATATTTGTAAAACGCCATAAATAAATTATTGACCATTATTAAGATTTTGCTTTGTTTATCAAACAATATTATACAGTAAAATCAGATATCTTTTTATGGGATTCAATTTCACTTTACAGTGAGCATTCAGTTTCATCGATAAATGTAGTTCAATAAATCCATGTCAACTTAATTTCGTTCGTGAACACATGGATTCGTAGATAAATTTTACCCACGAAATCAATGAAAATAACCTTCCATGAAAATGAATGATTTTACAGTATCATATCATAGTACAGTATTAGTATACCATATATCAAATAAATGTTTGTTATGTGGTCTATATCAATGATACTTTGATTCATAATTTAGATGCCATTATTTCCATTTGGGTAGCACTGACATAGGGAATTCGTCCGGCATTTGAAACGAAATAGATATTGCATGCTTGGAAATAATAATATCTCTGGACCAATATAATTAAATTTGATGGTAAACATTTTAGCAGAAATCTGCAATCAAATACATTTGTTGGGGAAACGTGTTCAAAAGGAAAGAAATCATTGATCTCCTAACTCAGTATTGGATTACCTCCCCGTCTGGATTTGGCTTTTCTTTTGATCACTTTTAGGCCCTTAGCATCACTGACGAGTCCTAGAAGGAGGAAACAACTGCATGATGCAGTTTAATTCAAAGTTTGTCTCTACTGTATCTCACTCTTAATTATGAAAAGGTGCTTTTCACTTGTGTGATAACATTTACAGAGAAATCAGGAAGTCGGTATTTTGCAATGGGAAGTTGGAATTTATATGGAAACTCGTTTTATTGTGAGACTCCACCAATTTCTTGTAACGGTATCCAACAATAAAACGCCTCGGGCTGATGCCAGATATCTGTACAGTATTCCTGAAGATTAAGATACAGTGTAAGCTCAATAAAGATTCCGAATCATGAATGAAAATATTTTGTGCAACGGTTCCCGGCAGACTGGTATTTCAGTAAACGGAAAACTGAGTTTTAAAAAGAGTTTGAATACTATTTCAGTGTTTATAGGACAGATGGCCTTAATCCTTCGCTCCGTTAGATTCCAACACGGAGCGGAGAAATATGTAAATTTTATCCAAAGTATATTACTTATAATGTGAAGCATTTGTTATTACATGACCTTTACTTTAGAAAAGAGTGGATTGACCTTATGGCCAAAACATCAAGCTTATCTTGAACAATATTAACCCTGTTCTATGACTAAAACCAATGTTTAATTTTTCGTCTATTAATGATCATTTTTTAGGAAAGAGAAAAACAGAATGTCTGTCTGTGTTAGGATAATGATAATAATAATGATAAAGAAAATGCAGATCTCTCAACAAAGTCCTATAACTCAAAGTAGATGGAACAAGATTAGAATATTAACAAAATAAACAATTACAGGCTTAGAGCATTGCAAAAAATACAAGGAAAACTAATAAGATAAATGTTCTGAAAGGGCCTGTTTATTCTGCTTCAAAGTCTTTGTCTTACTTAAAACAATCAAATAAAAAAGGAATGGTATGAAATGAACACGGTTTCATCAATTCTAAGATGGAATGTTGAGACAGATGAGTTCAGTTCACAATCCTGGATACTTGCAACCAACTTGCAAAGTCTGTTATGTCATCGCAAGTGCTTGTATGCTGAATTATTGAATTCGAAATCACTTGCTGTCCAGGTGAAGAAATTCTAGTTTACGCTGATGGCGGATATTTATGTATCTAACGGGATTTACTCTCAGCCAAGATAAAGAAGAAAAACGAAGATAAGAATGGGGATAGGATAGGCAACTCAGATCATGAACTCTAAGTCTGTTTTACTTTCACTCAAGAGGCTTCCAGTAATAAGTGAAACTAACCTTGTTTGTAGTTGACCCTTTACTCATCGAAACAAAATATGCAGAATAAATGGTCAGTGTCTTAACATATAAGCTTTATTTTCTCAAGGATGAAGAAAGACAAAAGTAGCGAGCCACTAACGAGTTGCAGGATAAGAATATATATAATGCTGTTCAATACTATGATATCATAAACAATATTACCTAATGCAATTTAAGTGTACAATGTATATTGAATGTAAACACTATCCCTGTACCGTGATTTCAATGACTAAGGGGAGACAATCATTGTCCTCTTAGGTATATTTACTTAAATATACATAGTTAAACTAACAGTATAATTTGAGATTAAAATTAGTTATCTTTGTAAAAGCGGTCAAGATTGATTTTTTGCGAAAGTTTTGTATCTACAAACATATACCATTACTTATTGTCAAGTACAAAAGACGTTCAGGATATACTTTAAGCAAGAAAAGACAGTGTTCCAGCCATTGTAAACTACAACATTAAGAAAAAATTACACATTAAAGAAAAGAAAAACATTTTCGTGGATCTTCATTTTCATATCAAATTATAGGAAAGAGAAACTTCATCTATTTCTGTTCCCATTTTGATTGGATCGATGCTTATGTGTGAAAATCATCGATATTGATATCGATTATATACCAGTAAATTGACACAGATAGGGACAAATATTCTAGTACATTGGTCAGTTACTTAAAATGTAAGCTGTGGTGAGCCTTTAACAATCCATTTAGTCTTTTTGTCCAGTCCCAAAATGCACATTATCCTTTCAGACACTAACCATGTATTATATTAATCCTGCAACATTTATTGAAAACTGAAACAATTTGTTGTACCATCATTGATACCTAATGTTGATGTTTTGCTTAATTGAACCTCACAACAAAAAATGCTCGTGTTTTAAAAACTAATATACGAAGAAATGCATTTGTTTTCCTTCATTGCTGAAATACAGCACAACAATATGTAACAAGTGTATTCCGACAATGGCAGCGCAGTTGCATCATAAGTTTATTATAGTAATAGTTCTTTAGTTTAACAGCAATTAACTTGTATATTGTAAACCAAATTTTCATGGTAAGTGAGATCCAAGAAAGTTGATCATCAAGAATTAACAAAGGAATGTTGATCAAAGAAAATTATATTATGATACAAAAGAATATTTCCGAAAAAGCATCGCGCATTTGATGTGATGCAGAAATCAGTAGTTGATTTACAGTATCTTACTGAATTCTTGAGTTTATAGTGGTATATCTACTCTTTAACAATTACATGCTTACTTGATATGTGCCAGCAAAGTTCTGATAAGTCATATCAACCAACCATTTCATAGAGTCGTACAAAGGGAAACAATCCTCGATAAATCGATAACCCTTGACAAAGATATCAGCACAAGTTGCGAGCAACTCTCAAAAACATTCCATGTTAAAAAATCATAATCATTACTATTAAATGGAAACAGGTAATTACAAATATCAGAACAAAATGTTACAAAAAAAAAAAAAAAAAAAAGAAAAAGAAAATGAATAAAAAATAAACAGCAAACACCAAGCAAGTTGACAGCTTATGAACTTTATCTTTTTTATCATTCATCAAGACTATAATTGAGTTTCGTTTAGTTCAGAAAATGTTAATTCAGACCTTTATATATTGCAAATAATGTTTATGAATACAAGAGAAACATGTCGAGGCTGATATATACCCTTTTCATGATATGATATTCAACATACATGTAATATACCTCGGTAATAGTTCTGACTTTACAAATAAAAGGGAGATTACCGATATGTCATTATAATGCAAACGCGTAGTATCGAATATCGATAAAGAATATATATCATAAAATCTCTTATTTTCGGAAGTAAAAATGTTTATTCTGAATGAAACATATATTTTAATGAACTAAAATAAATGAGGATAAATGAATTTCATGAATCTTGTTAAGATGTTACAAGTACATCTTAATTGATTTGAATAGTACCGTACAGTTAAGAATATACATATGCACTTTACGTTGTTTTAAAAGTATCAGATATACATTGTATAAAAATCACGAAAATTATTTAACTGTGGGGCTAGAGATTGATGTTACAATTCGCCTCCTAGGTTTCCAAATTTAGGCTCTCATTGACAAGTCCTAGAGGGAGAAAACAGCTGTAGGATAAAGTTATTTTCATTATTTGCTTTTATGCATCTGATTCTAAATTTGTTTTGAAAATTGCTATTTTTGTGCGTCTTTTAAACAATCCTTTGAGAGTTGGAAGATCAATAATTCAAACTGCGATGTAATATTCTCATATAGATATTAATCATCTAATCATGCCATGAAATTGAAATCGCATT